ATCTTCTGATACTTGTCGTACCGTGCAAGTGCCACTTTTGCAGACTCATATTGCTTAGAGAGTTCCGATAGAGCTTTCTGCTCGATCTTATGTGCCTTTATTGCTACGTCTTCTTCTTCTTGCTCCTTGCGTATGAGCTCTTTCTCACCGTCGTCTTGAAAGGTTCGCAATTCTTTGAGGATCGGCGCCATTTCCTTCAATACCGCCCCCATCAATCTTTTCCTATCCACTTCATAGAGGGCCTGAATTGACTGGTCAGAGGTAAGAACACGAGCACCAGTGTTGACATGAGTGACCCGTTGGCGGTCCTTGTGCTTTCCCCACAGTTTCTGACGAATTATCCCATTCTCTATCTCCATGATGATCTTCTGGGCGTGATCGTATGACATCTGCTCAAGACATCGATAGAGGATGTCTTCCAACTTGCCGAGGTAGTCTAGAAGAACCGGACGACTTGCATAAGGACCAGGACGAGGAGGTATGTCCTTGAACTGATAGGAGTATTGGGGATTATTGACAGGGATATCCATAGCACGCAACGTCTCTACAGGCATGGGCTCGAGGAAGGAGGGAAGAATTGCCGGCAGTGGTTGGGCAGCCCGGATGGTTGTCAGCTCTGCAGGAGTAATGTCGGTCTGCTTGATGACATGTGGATTGAAAGGAAAAATCCCACATTGTTCAAATGCACTCCGCACATTATCCCCTGTGATAGCACTCCTCCGCGCTCGGTCATACCAGAGCAAGAAGTCATACTTTGTTATCTTTGTACCATTTGCAAATGCAGTACGTGCAACCTCTTTCCATTCACGGGCAAGGTGTGAAAAGACTCCAACGTCACACGGCTGGAGCTTGTGTGTTGTATGAGGGGGAAGACAGATGATAATAATGTCATTCTGAACAGCATAGAGGACGAATGGTAGGCTGCAATGGGAAATATGCCCATCTAAGATGAGCAATCGATATCTTCCTGTCTTTGTAGCCCGGGTCGTCTTGTCAAATGTATTTTCAAGCCAGGACAACGCAATTTCACTATCTGTCCACCCGTTAGCAGAAAATGCGACGCTAATACAGGTGAGTATTGGATCATTTCTTGTGACAGAGTGTCTTACCTTGCTTGACAGGGATTGTGCCGTGCCCATTCCAAATCATGACCAGTCCCTTCGTGAATAAGTAATGGCGGTGTAGTTGTGCCATTCACGCAGATGCACTCTAGGACTGTTATCATTTTACGGTTCTCATCTCCTGTTGAAAATGCTTGTTTTTGGCCGACATCCACCAAAGCCCGAAAGCGGATACTACCTCCACCCATGAAGATACCTTTTTCATCGGCATTGTAGATATCAGATGGATGTATATCATATGTTTCGATTTGTTCTTTCAAGATTTCGAAGTATTCAAGTGCTACTGCCTCCTTCACAGCTTGTGCACGCTTGGATTCACCCTTCTTTGCCCATTTCCCACGTATATCTGGGTTCCTTTTCATGAATCTATACACCCATCCTTCTCCTGGGGTTCCTTGTCCAGTAATCTTACCGGCTAGCTCGCGTGTTTCTTGTAAACCAACTGGGTCACCTCTCCAGCCACGGTACTTGATGTATTGAACAAGGGCTCTCTCTTCCTGTGGAGATAAAAGCTGGTTCTCTTGATCCACTTCTTGACGTGGTTTAGATCCATTCAGTCTATCACGAAGTGTGTTCTTTGGGATAGAAAAGGCCTTGCTAGCCTCCCATAGCTCTTGCGTGCCATTTCGTACATTTTTCATTGCTGCCTGTATATCCTCTTCTGTCCACACTCGTGGTTTGCGCTCTTTGTGAATAGAAGGTGGAGGTTGCCCCGGCATCTGTATAGTCTTCGCTGGTTTACGCGTTTGATTAGCCCTAGCCATTATAGGTGCAAATAAAATAGAATGAAAATGAATATGACGCGATATTAACGCGTCAAGTTGCAGATTATAATGGTGAATGGGTCAAAGAGCAGTGGCACCTGGGCTGGTGAAGTGGCGGCCTATAGTATTTGACAACCATGTCCTATTAAGCAACATATCTACAGTAAACAATGTATTTTATCATTTTTACAAATTTATTCCATGCATAATAAGGTGTATATGCGATACAGAAGTCACCGTCCGGTTGGGCGGTAGGTCCACCTGTTTGACTGGTCTGGGAATTACTCCTAGAACAATGTGTCATATCGCACCCAGCAGCTTAGATTGGTCTCTTGAGTTGAATATACATCGATATATCAATATGTCTTAAATTCATAGCCTTGCCTTAGCTCTCTATGGTGTCAAGTGGTTCAGAGCGTCCGGTTGGGCCGTAGTCCTCGGTATATCGACTGAGTCGGAAAATTAAATATCAGCGATCTCATCGGTCTGGCCATGTGCCGTTTTGGGTAATTTGACAGGTGGAGGATGACTGGAACGTTGCGGGCAGGGCGGAGCTACCTGGCCTTATTAAAGACAAGTCTTGTGGGGCCAGTTCTCTTCGCCAACTTGCCTTCCAATTTTCTTGACCCACCACCATGTTCGACCCTGCTACTTCCAGTGCCGACGAGATCTCTGACTTTGTGCTTGTTAATGCCGACCGTGCTCCCATCATCACCACTGTTGGTGCTGACCATGCCTCCGTCCTCCCCGCTGTTGGTGCTGACCGTGCCCCCGTCTCCGTCGAGGTGGAGCAGCCTTTTTCCTTTACGACCGTTGAGGTCGACCAGGCGTCCATTGTGATGACAGTCTGTGCAGATGGGCTTCCTGGTCCTGCCACCAGCTTTGGAGAGGAGGTTGACGAAGAGTATGAGCGATCTATTGTCAATGCCAGCCCTGATGAATGGGATGTAAGTAGACCTCTGTCTTTGCTCCTTGTCTTTGCCGTTAGCTGACAATGACTGCAGCTCCTCGCCACCTTCCTGAATTCGATGGGAGCACGGAGGGAGTCACCATCGCGGAGGGCCCTTGCTCACGTCTGGAAGAATGGCCGGGCGCCGAGGTGAGTATCTGCACTATCTCCAAGCGTTCCCTTCGGCCGACTAACCCCTCACCTCAGGGATCAAAATGGACACCGACTCCCCCCCTGGGGGCCTTATCTGCTCATCATCAACCCCACTCGCGAGCTTCATTCGAGCACGGGGAAGTTTGATCCTGACGCCCTTGATGATGCCAATTACTGGGTCGTCAACAACCCCGAGTGGGAAGCCAAACCTGAAGCTGCAAGTGGGGTGAAGAGGAAGGCATCGAGTGAGAAGGGTGAGGGTGAAGGCAGGGAGACTAAGAA